GATTTAAAAATCGAGAAAATTTAATGAGGACCAAAGTATATTAATAATTTATGAAATTGCATTTGCAAATTTTTCTCCTGAAATTTTGGGAGTAAATTTATCAATGTCACTGAACTTCTAATAAATTCACTTAGATCATTAAATATTAATTTATCTCAAGTAACTAAATTTCAATTTTAGTTTCAAATTTCACTATTCCATTATATTTTGTTACATATCCTCCCTGAAACTAATGAAAAGTTATCAGTTATACTTTAATTAATCTTTCACATAATCACTACATTGCCCTAGAAACTAAAATGGTAATATGTGAATTATAATAATGTTTTGACATTATATATTTTATAAAATAACGACATCCTGCACTAGTGATGTCAGATTGAACACTCTATAATGATATTTTTATATCTAAATTGGTGTTAAATATTACTATTACTTTTTACACTTTTATGACGTGATGTTATGGTAAATTATAATGCCAAGTAGTGATCACGTGAAAATGTTTATGATTGTCAATTACGTATTTTTTATTCTTTCAAATTTTGGAGACAACATGTATCTGATTTATGGAATTTCAAACCGAATTGAAACTTTAAAGTACTCAATTAAAAATAAATCGGATTTTAATAATTTAATTGATGTATATTAAACTTTAGTGACCAGAATTGAGATGTCTGAAAGTTCAATGACCACAGATGAAATTTTCCTATTCGGTGATTAACAGTATTTTCATCCGGTTCAAGTAGCAATCCTGGACGCTTCAGGACCGCATAAAAATTGTAAAATAGAAGGGCATATAAATATTTATTTGAATTTTAAAGAATATAAAATATCCTTTGAGCCTCATTCAAGGCACGAATTAAAGTAAAAATGGCAAGGAATTGTTGCTGCATTTCTTTCTCTACTACCCCCTGTGCTGCAGCAATTCCCCCTGTCAATTCCATCCGTTTTCGAGCTCGAAATCGTTTCTTTACTCAGGATGCATCATCCCAATCACTCAGAACCATCGGAATTGAATTTGTTTCGTCAAGTTTCAGAACCAAGTGCAAGGCTACAGAATCTGAAGTTGAAACCGGACCATCGTCGACCTCTTCTGAAGTTGAACGTTTAGGCACTGGGCTCGACGTAGAATGCATGATTAACTCTCAAGAAGAATTGTCGAAGAATCCCATCAAGTTAAACGAGGAATCTGTATTATCTACATCGTATGTGCTGGAATTTTTGGGGTCAGCATGGGAATGGGCACTTTTGATATCGCCTTTCTTCTTTTGGGGCACGTCCATGGTGGCAATGAAGGAAGTTATTCCCAAAACAGGGCCCTTTTTCGTGTCTGCATTCCGGTTAATCCCGGCCGGTTTGTTGTTGGTTGGTTTCGCGGCTTCCCGAGGCCGGAAATTTCCTTCCGGGTTCAATGCTTGGCTCTCTATCTCAGCGTTTGCTCTCATCGATGCTTCTTGTTTTCAGGTCCTTTATTAATTTGTAACTCTGTCATGGTATATTTAAAATGTATCTGGCTTTTGTTCTGTGTATTTTCGTTGGTGGTGAACAGGGTTTTCTCGCTGAAGGATTGGAGAGGACAACGGCTGGTCTTGGTAGTGTATGCTCTTTAAACTCTTGATAGAAGCTCTCTTTTTATTAGAAATTGTCATAATGCTGTTTTTATCTTGTTCTATGTATCATTTCTAGCCACAAAAATTGAACTTTAAATATGCTGATTCTCTGAAAAGGTGAAAAATGGTTACCCAGACAGTTTAATCCTGGAAAAAAACACTTTTTTTTTGGTGTTCCAGATTTAAGGAACAACCAGAATAAGATATGCATGTTAAGATAGATTGATATTTCTAGTTTTGTTGCACTGCTGCGATTAATAGTCGAATCATAAACAGCAATCAAAATCTGTAATTTGTTGTCGACATGTTATCCTTGTATTTGTGGAGATAAAGGATAAGTTATATACACCTTTATTATTTTTTCCTTGTCATTTGTCTATTCTCCAAGGGGTTGTTAAAGAGTTGCTCGGTTGTTAAAGAGTTGATGAAATTTGCACGAAATCTTTAATCCGGACTTTGTCAAGATTTTGATAAAATGTTGCAGGTCATAATTGATTCACAGCCTCTGACTGTGGCTGTCTTGGCTTCCTTGTTGTTTGGCGAGTCAATTGGATTGATTGGAGCTGCTGGACTCATTCTTGGCATCATTGGCCTTTTCCTTCTCGAGGTATAAATATTGGCAATTTTAGGATTTTAGTTTGCGCATTTCTGCTTTAACTTGAGTTAATTTTGTTGGTGCAAACTAGCCCTACTGAATCCATGGATCTGTCAATAAGGTTGGATTAACTTCTTGTCCTTGAGAGGTTCAACTATATCCTAACTGAGTTATCTGGACACTGCAGATACATACCAAGATAGAAAACTTTGGAGACTGAGAAATCAATCATTATTACAATAAAATATATAATATCTGCTTTCTAAACTTGTGCATGTAATAAATAAGCATTTGTGGATTTTAACTCCATCATTTGATATACAATTTCCATTATTTATCCCAGCTGAAAAGAATCTGACTCCAACAAGCTATGCTGCAAATTTTGTTCTTAAATATAGGATCAAGATGGGAAAATTCTCCATAACTATCCACATAGGATTAGTAAAAGGACTACTTTCCATCAAACTAGGAATTGTGGTAACCTATAGATGGTGATGCTACATATCGATCATCTAAAATGTCCACAATGACATCAGTTGGCTCCAGAGAAGCACAGGGAACAGGAACAAGTTTCTGATACCAAAATAGTAGAAGCCAAGCTGTACAGACTGAATCAGATTAGAATGAGAGAGGAAGTGAGGAGGCAGCAGAAGAACTGAGAAGAATTAGAAAAACAAAACACAATTAGAGGGATAATAACTATATTAATGAATATCACAAATCAATGCTCTGTTCTTCAATAGTGGTAATTGTATTTTTATACGAGAATGGAGACCCGCTGAAGTAACAAATGGAAATTTTTTGTTACTTTAAGCTAAAACTTAATATTAAAAGAAAACAGTATTGTTTCCACTTTATGAATATGCTTAAAGTAATTAATTATTTTTGGATTCTGATTACTTCATCAGGAATACAATCTTCATAAGCTGCTCTGCTGCAGATAATTTTTAAACTGGCCTAGAGTTGTTACAACAATGTGAGAATTTCCAATTGAAGATCATTTTGGCAATTCTCACAGGATCCAAAAGGGCATCAGTTACAATAAATACATGGCCCCAAAACAAAGCATTATATTGTATTTGTGAAATCAGCATCATGGTTTGCAATTTGAATTTTTAATGTTAAACAAACTTGCATTAGATTGAGGGCTTATTCATCCTAAATTTTTCATATTTGGAAAATTTTTCAATGTGCTAGTACATATTAGCCATGAGTTTGCTAACAGATGCATACTTAGATGGTATGAAGTAGCCAAAGAAACTATGAGTTTTATCTACAGATTTTACACTGCTTAAAAGATTATGATGCATTAAGAACACGTATGTCCATCATGACACGTGTCAAACAAGTAGACATGCGATTTAAAAAACAGTTTCCAGCACAACAGGTCACAGATACAATTAAGTTCTTCAAAAATTTTCATTTATATAATATAACTTTAATATTATACTTCTTATTAATTCTTCTTATTGAAATCTTTTATATAGACTACCTATTTGTTATACTATAATAACTTTAGTTAAAACTATATATTAGTACTTTTCAATAAAGGAAAATGACTATAGTAGAGTGTTTAAGGAGTGTTGGTATCTAATATGACACATCATCACAGACATGGTCAAGCCATCCTAATTGAAGTGTCCGTGTAACACATGTAAAAGGCATTCTACGTGTATGCATTACATATATTTTTGGACACAAGGACACCCATATGCACCGAATTGTTTTTTTTTTTTTTTCCATTTTCTCAGTTTGTTGTGCACTTAACATGCACAGACATACACATGCAGAAGTCAACCCACGAATCCATGATAACACTTGAATCGTAAGTTTGTGGCTCGAGAAGTTCTAAAAATCTTTCTAAAATTCTGATAGTTTACAATTGCAAGTAATCTGGTATACTTGTACTGGTTTCAATCTTGCAGGTGCCTGCTCTTGCTTTTGACAAAAATAGCTTTTCACTATGGGGAAGTGGGGAATGGTGGATGCTTCTTGCGGCCCAAAGTATGGCAATCGGAACAATTATGGTGCGCTGGGTCTCCAGATACTCAGACCCCGTTACGGCTACTGGATGGGTAAGATGTACTGGATTCTGCAAGCATTCGCTTTAATTTATTTTCAATGAGCGAACTTGGATTGGATTTGGTGATGATGTCTTTGAAAACTTATCCACACTTTGCTTGAAATTTTCACTATGTTTCTGGAATTGTAAGCACCACATAATTATCCCAGTATCTTTGAACTGCAAGGGATTAGTGATTGATCCTCTTCTCTTCTGTAAATACCTTTAAACTTGAAGAATTTGATTTAAATTTTAGCGAAAATTATCTCTCCTAGTAAATCCTGAAAACTTTCCCTTCAAATAAGCTGTTCCTTTCTGTGATAATTTGTCTGTATGCTTGCCTAAATTACGAATATTGTTGCATTCTTAATATCTCATCATTTATCTTCAATGTTTTCCTTCTTTCTCATTAATTCCAAAGTTTGGCGGGAAATTGGGATTACCCTGTTCTTATCTCCTATTAAGCTCAGTTAAGCAAAAACAACTAGGGCTTACATTAGGTATGCAGGGAACATGAAGTTTGCAGGAAGTTGAAATCTCAAACATTTTTGGTGATGTTTGGTTCTATTTAATATGTGCAATCATATAAAATGATGTACTAGGCCTTTCTAGGAGGAATGCAGCTCCCATGTCCCACAACACACACATGCTACTGTTAAATGAATCGTACGTCACAATGCAACACTTCAATACCTTTATACATCGTTTTTTTAAATAATAGATGCATATGATCCACCAATATAAGTTGTGCAGATCTGGAAATTATAACCAGTATATTTACGTATCCAAGATAGCTTAACAGTTCACAATCTTTCCGAAAAGGAAAGCATTTTAGGCATACAAAATCATTTTTAAATAACATACCAGTATTCTGCACCAACTTCCATTACTTTGATGGTATACTTTTTGCTTCCGCTCTTACAAAATCCAGTTCTCTCCAGCCAAGACATTTATCCTGTTGGTTAAGTTTTTCTGTTTTTCTCATCCATGTCAAAATCATTTATCTTTGTCCACGTCCTTTGTTCAAACACTATTCCCTGTGCTCAATATATTGGTCCTGCTGTATCTGTCTTGTTACCTCAGTGTTGTTTATATATATATATATATATATATATATATATATATGAAATACCTGTTATCCTTATGTTAGTATCACAGTTTATAATCATTCTTTATTCCCACGTTACCTCTGTAAAAGTGCTGGAGTTGATATTTTGTTTATCATGAGTTTCAGGATCCTTGCTTGAACAAGAAAAATTCTTGGGAGTTTGATTATAGTGGAGTCTAAGATAATTAATTATATCAATATTTTGTGTCTCGTGTAGGAGTTAGTTGAATCGAAAATTCTCTTGGCTTGAGATTCAGATTCACCAATTATCAGCCGGAGATTTCTTTTGCGAAGATAGCTGTTCCATCAAAAGCTGTTTAGCCTAAAGAATAGCCGTATCGAGATTTCTGTCGTAATCCAGAGCAACTCTGAAGTGGGAGTGAAATTATGAGATATTATAATTTGGAATTTATTTTTGTTTACTTGTCATGGACCTTGAAACTTGAGGTGATTAGATTTTGAAACTTATTAAATTGGCACAATCTGATTCCTACATGTAATAGACTTTCCACTTATCCACAGCCTGTATTATACTCAATAACTAAGCAACATAATATATGTCATTGCAGCACATGGTTATTGGGGGTCTCCCACTCGTGGCAATTTCCATTCTTAATCACGATCCTGCTTTCAGTGGGAGATTTGCAGAACTGACGACAAATGATATTTTGGCGCTCCTTTATACCTCCATTTTCGGGAGTGCTATCAGCTATGGCGTGTACTTCTACAACGCTACAAGAGGTCAGGTTCAGATTTTGGGTTGTCTTTGACTCTTCGCCCATATGCCTAGAAATGTTGAATATTCTTTCTCTATTGTTTACTATGATTGATTCATGACCAGTGGGAATTGATTAGGCTTCTACTGATACTTTTTAGGTAGCTTGACACAGCTCAGCTCACTGACCTTTCTCACTCCAATGTTTGCTTCAATTTTTGGGTAAGAGAGTATAATCCGATCCATGTTTTTTGCTAAAAAACATTAAATGTCTAGAAATATAAAATTAAATTAGATATATAGCGATCGATCGCTAATGGCTAGTTTCTCTAACCCCCCTTTATTGTCCCTCCATCTGTTTTGATGCTCATTTATTTGATTGTAAAACCTGTTTCAAACTACAGATTCCTTTATCTCGACGAGACCTTCACTCCTGTGCAGTTGGCTGGAGCATTTGTAACTGTGGCGGCAATATACATGGTTAATTACAAAACTGGTGCAGAATGAGAGGCTACTAATCCCTAGTTCTCACAAGTAGCAAATAGAACAGCGGGAAGATGGCCTGGTCGTGGCAGGCATGTTTGACTTCCTTTGTCTGAGGATGTAAATCTATGGACATTGTGCATATAATAATCTCAGGAGAAGAGAAAGGGACATAGGTTATTAAAAGTACAGTCTTAAGTCTAGGTGGTTTTATCCATCATAACATGGTTTATTACTACTAGAAATTTATACGAAGAAGGTATACTTGATGTTTGAGGAACAGGTCAAGGAGATCAAAGAAGACAGTAAATGTGGTGGATTTTTAGGCTCTCAACTCGTGTTCCTATACAGTATTGACAATATTTAACATGACTGACTACTTAGTTTAATTTCTCTCTTTTCATCGATAAACTTTTTCGCGATGATTCAATCTTATTTGACAAAGTAAACTAGTATTATGTAATTTTAATAAAAAAATATTAACGTGTAAGAGCATAGCCAAGAAATTTTTAAAATATGAGATGCTCTCTATTTAAAGAGTTAATCTTTAAAATAATACTAATCTTTAAAATAATACTCTAGGAGACTCTTTAAATTAATATTTTAATTTAAAGAGTAAATTTGACTCTACAAATTTGGAAAGCTGAACATGCTCTCTGTAATTAAATGCATTCAAAATATTTTAATTTGAAATGTACAAAAATAATAAAATAATTAAAAAAGGCTAGTTAAAATAAAATATAGAGAAAATAATAAATATTTTTTAGAAGTAGTAAAATTAAGCGATAAATATAAAGAGCTCGTTGAAGTACTTTAAAATTTCAATTCTTTAAATTTATAAACTCTCTCCAAATGATAGCGTATCTTTTTTAATATTAAAGTCTCTTGAAAATATTTTAAAACTACTACAAATAGTTATTTGCTCTCTATTTTTAACATTTTAAAAACAAAATCCAAAATTCATTATTTATTACATAAACAAATGGAAAAATTGTAGCAGTAGTTCCTAATCTTTTCAAAATTTTCAAACTTTATCCTAATTTTCAATTTGTTTTATCGAAGGTCCCTGACCTTTGAAAAATTAACAATTGGACAATATATATGTGATCGTTAATTGATCAAGAATAGTAGAATTTAACCAAATTAAAAGAGGAAGATGCTAAACGGAAAGGCAGCCAAAAAATTATTCTAATATAAAAGTTTTATTTTGATATAGTAATAGATTAAAGCAATAAATCAATTCATTTATCCAACTCGTCGGATTAAAGGCAGCCATTTTCTCTTTCTATTTACTCTCTCTAACTCGTCGAATTCTGTAGAAAAAACAATCTGTGATTGTGATTGGAGGTTTTGCTTTTATGTAGGCGGTGATAGTGGTGGTCGTGGACGGTGGTGCCTTGGGCGGTGATTTTTTAGTTGACTGGGACGGGGTGGCGTCACTGGCGTGGGATGAGGTGGGATTGAGGGTGTGAAGAAGATGAATGAACAAATTTTTTTCCTTTTATTTTATTTTATTTTAATTATACTAAGAGATATATAATGCAAAGTTGCAATCTGGTCAATTAATGATAAGATGGATGTTTAGTTGCTAATTGTTCAAAGGTTAGGGACTTTAGTTGGCACAAATTAAACGTTAGTGTAAAATCTGCAAAAACTGAAAAGGTGAAGAACCCTATTGCAATTTTCCCTAAATATATTTAACACTCGTTTTAGTTCACCAAAAAAAATATAAAATTGATCTTATGACTATAATAAGGGTCCGTTTGCATGATATTTATTATTATTATTATTATTTTTTTGGACTTTTTGTAGAAGAGTTTTCCAAGAAAATTGCTTTTGTTTTTGTTCGAAAAATAATTTTTGAAAAAAAAAAAATTTATATTTCAAAAATACTTTTAGAAGTCATAATTAATCAGTTTCCTCTAAAAATTATCATAATTAAAAGAAGTACTTTCATAAAATAAGCCAAATGAATTCAAAAGCAGGTTTGAATCTTAATAGTTTTTTTAAACTTTTCAAAAGTTATATCAAACGTCCCCTAAAAATGGTACATAACCATATAGTCTTATTAACAAGACTAAAGGGAGGCAAATGTCTAAATACATACCAAAATCTCAAGGAAATAAGAAAGAGTAGCGCTATTTCCATCCACACTTTTTATAAGTACATAACACTCTATATTCATCCCTAATATAAAATAAAAAAAACACTATTTGTAGCCACGTTATATTCCAATCTTATTCTTACTAAATTCATTTATTTGAATAACATATATCCACATTTAAAAAGTACTATTTGCATCCACGTTAATAATGTAACTCTTTAAAATTTGTAGATTGCCATTTTTTTTTTAATGCAAAATTCCATCACTTCATGCTATGTGACATAGCCTATGTCTATAAGAAAGCGTCACATTATTTCCAACAATTTCATCTGATACATTTGAAGAAAACTGAAATGACAAAAACACAGGATGCGACAAACATTAGGGGGGTCGAAAAGCTAGCAAACCTTTTACTCGAAAGTCATGTTCTCAGCCTCTCGCCTCACGGATTCAAAAAGCACAACCAAAACTTGGGAAGATCACAATAATGAGTTTTCCAACATTCTCTGGTCTCTTCGCAATCCTAATTGCAACAGCTGTTGCAGTATCAGATGATATTCCCACTAGCAACCCTTCTTTCAATGTTAGAAGCTTTGCAGTTTCTATGGCTTCATCGCTTGAAATTTGAATTACCTCATTAATAAGATAAACCTCCAATACCTCAGGAATAAAATCAGCACCAATTCCTTGAATCTCATGAGGACCAAGTTTTCCTCCAGAGAGAACATGACTTTCAACTGGTTCCACACCAAACAACTTTATATCAGGGTTCTGCTCTTGAAGGAACTTTCTTGCACCAGTGATCGTCCCTCCAGTACCAATTCCAGAAACAAAAGCATCAATTTTTCCATTCGACCCTTTCTAGATCTCTGGTCCAGTGGTTTCATAATGTATCTTCGGGTTGGCTGGATTTTCAAACTGCTGAAGAATGTAGGAGTTAGGTGTCTTGTCTCGTATCTCTTCAGCTTTCTGAACAGCACCTTTCATTCCCTTTGCGGGGTCAGTGAGCACCACTTCAGCACCAAAACCAATGAGAATTGAAGGCATCGTAATGATAAGCCCGTATCCCTTTGCTGCTGCCATGAATGCCAAGCCTATGCCAGTGTTACTACTTGTAGGTTCAATATGGACACTCTCCCCAGGTTTGATAAGGCCTTTTGCCTCAGCATCTAAAAGGCTCCATAGATTCTAGCTTGGCAGCAACATGGGCAACGCAACCATCAGCAATATTATTCAGGTATACCAATGGGGTTTTACCAATAAATTCGGATACATCCTTAGCAATTCCAACGTTTTCCTCTGCCACATCTTCAAATCAATTTTGTAAGCAGATTGCTGGGAGTGTAAGATAACTCTTCTTTTTTGGGCTCTGCATTGTGTGTTGACAAACACCTTGCAAAATTGCCTAGTTGAAGTTCATATATATCACAGAAATTCATTAACAAAACTTATCAAATAAATAAACGACATTCATTAGAGTATTGCCTAATTTTCCCTAATTATATTCATGTAATTTTTCTTAATCTATTAAGATTCTAGTTAAACACAAATTCTAAAAGAATAAAAAAAGATTGATAATTTAATGAAAGTAAAAATTAGTGGATCAATTTGGAGTTTTGTAGTTTTATTTAATTTTGTTTATGTCTATTTAAGTAAATTTACGTAACATTTAAAATATAATAAAAAATTATTTTTAAAAGTGGATGTACTTATAAAAAGTGTGGATGGAAGTAGCTCTACCCAATAAGAAAACATCAATAAGCAGTACACTCCTTGAGAATGAGAAAATCCTTGCTCACGCCAGTTTCTTCAGCAGAAGTGAGATTTTTCATATTATAAGCCCCAAAAATGCCAAGAACCCATACTTCCTGTATACAAAAACTCTTCAAGATTACTGTCATGCCCATACCATAGTTTTAAAACATCTCTAAATGGGCAAATATGGTCACTATTTATTGGAATTTAACAAAGCCACTGAATTGGAAAACCAGCAAGCAATTGATTTGAGGAATCAACAACACAATCAACAGTGGAAGGAAGCCAAGACACTTAAGCAATTGGCAACAACCCAGCAACAATAGAACAAGAATTGTCTAGAAGAAGAGGAGGAATTCCGTATTAGTTAAGTAATTTGTTGTATTTTCTGTTTTGTAAATGTGCATAACATGTAAATATATTCTTGCAGAATAGCCTATAGGCTCTATATATACACTGGCCATTTCTGCAGTTTTGAATAGGATGATTCAATGCAATTTTGTTTCATTTTCCCTTTAATCATTTTGCCAATTCCTCTTCTCATCTCGTCTTTATATTTCTGAAATGGTACTAGAGCCAAGTTTGGACGTTTCCAACTCTGGAATACAAATACTGATCAAATCCAAACCTAAAATCAAAATATTAATGAATCTGGTAACTCATCAAATCTTGTAAATCATGATCCTGCCCAGCCAAATAGTCCATATTTCATTGGAAGCAATGATAATACTGGAGACATGCTTGTTACTCATATTTTTCATGCTAATAACTATCACTCATGGGTTCAATCAATGAAGAGAGCATTAAAATTCAAAAAAAGTTAGGATTTATTGATGGAAGTTTAAGTGAACTAGTAGATTCAAATGATCCACTCATGGAGCATTGGCTAGATTGCAATGATATAATGATTACTTAGATGCAGAACACAAAGGCAATTGATATCAAGTATAGTACCACATATTTCGAGACAACGCACGGGTTCAATTAATGAAGAGAGCATTACGAATCAAAAACAAGTTAGGATTTATTGATGGAAGTTTAAGTGAATTAGCAGATTCAAATGATCAACTCATGAAGCATTGGCTACGTTGCAATGATATAGTGATTACTTGGATGTAGAACACGAAGGCTATTGATATCAAGAATAGTACCACATATGTCGAGACAGCGCACCAGCTATGTATTGAGTTGGAACAATGTTTTGGTTAGCAAAATACACCTCAAATTTTCGAAATCAAACGGGCTATAACTATGTTGCTGCAAAATCAAGACCCTGTGAGTTTCTATTTCTCCAAATTCAAAACTTCTCTAGATGAGCTCATTAATTATGAAGCTATGTGATGCAGCACCAACGGGACAATTAATTGAGAAATAGAACAGATCTATAGGGAGAGGGAATTAAAGAGAAGAACGGGGAATTGGGGGGGGGGGAAGAAGAAGAATTTAATAGAAGAGGGTAGAATAAGGAGAGGGATGCGCCATAAGCCACCAAAATAATTATTCATTCATC